ATTGTCTGCTAGGAAGTCGAGCAGCACTTGGGCCCCTTCTTCATTATGAAGCTCGGTCGGGTCGAGGCCCTCTGCGCGCATCCAGGCGTCGCCCTTCAATTATGCGAAGAGCTCCGCGGCATGCCTCTCGAGTGGCAGTCTGGTTGGTCTCTTGAATATCGCCACTCGCCTCCTATCGTCCTTCATCGTCATCGTCTGTGGATCGAAGGCTGGAGCTGGAACGTGCGGTCCTCCCGGCTGCTGGGCACGTCCTTCCTCGCCTTCTCCTTGCTCATATGATGGCTCCATTTTGGGGGCCATCCTCGCCGAAACTGCTGTTGATTTCCGGCCTCGTATTTGCTAATGTGATGCGGCCTGTCCGCTGAACTCGATGCGACGAGCCGCTTCTCTTCGCTGCGACGAAGTCGTGTCCGTGGGTCGATCAGCTCCGCTAACAATGTGAAGATGCAATTTTTGAGATACGCGCTCCAGTTTTCAGTATGTCGCCTGAGACTCAAGGGCCCTGGGAGCCGCAATTTGTACGGATAAGAAACAAATGGGGCGAGGGGCAAACGCTGGGCCATGCAGCACCCTCGCTTTCACAGGGTGCTTTCGGCCGATCTTGGGATAACGGACCTCACCGCACGCTCCGAAACAGAAACCACACTTCGTGCAACCCAAGACCTCTCCAGCTCTGTTCAGGATGTGGCCTCTTGCGACCTCGGGCGGGACGGGACCCTCCGCGGGGAACACCATGCTGGGGATGCAAGCTCGAGCCCTGCCAGGGGCCGCGAGACGAGGGCGTTTCTTCGAACCATTGCCGTCGACGTCAATCGCATGTTGAGGACGGCCTGAACGGCGCGACACACCTGCCTTACAAAAGGCTCCGCCACCTGATCCAAGGGCCTGGCCTGGGACTTGGGCCTGGGTTCAGGGTGAGGCTGAGGCGGAAGGAGAGGAGGAGGGAGGTCCGCAGGAGGAGCGTCAGCAGCAGCAGCAGGGAGGCTCCGAGGGGCGGAGTCCGAGGGACACTCAAACCTGGGACGCACAGCTCTGGCCCCAGAGACCTTGGGGTCCACCCAGGAGGTGGAGCAGCAGAGGGAGCCTGAGGAAGGATGGAAGGGAGGGAGAAGGGAAGGATATGCCTGACGGTTCAGAGGGGGGATGAGGACGAGAAGTAGGAAGAAGACTAGGAATGAGGAATGAGGAGGATTATCGGAAAGGAGAGGAAGACAGAAAAGTAGGAACGAGGAGAAGGGAAAATGAGGAGGGGGGGAGGAGGAGGAAGAAGCAAGAGCAAGAGAGGAGAGAGAGGAGGGAGGAGGGGGACCAGGATTATGATCATCAAGAGGGATAAATCAGAGGAAGAGCATGAGGAATTGCATGATTCAGGGTATCAGGAATGAAAAGATGGGGCCTTCCGGCAATCTCGAGGGACCTCTGGAGTCACCTCCAGGTGCTCCTCCTCCTTTTCCACCTCCTCTTCCCCCTCTTGAAAAAACTGCGTCCTCATCATCCTCCCGCCCGAAGTCATCCTTCCTCCTCCTCCTCATCCTCGACCTCCTTCTCATCATGGACATCATCGACACCCTCCCCTTGCCCCGTCGAACATGTTCATGCCCTGTTCCTCATTGCCTCAATGCGTCGCCCCCACGTGCTCCTCGTGTTCTTCTCTCCGCGCATATCCACATTCTCTCCCCGTCCCGCTCTCCTGCCGGCGCATCCCGTCTCTCTCCTCCCCTTGCGCGTCCGCGGAGTATTCTCCCCTGCCGCCTTTCCTGCACCCAAATGCTAAGACTATAGTCGTATGCATGTTGAAACGTAGTTCACAGACGTATAAACGTTTGTGTTATCTATGCCGGTGCTCATAGATGTATATATATGTAGGTGTTACGCATATACAGATAAATCCATATACCCATATATATAGACATACGCACTTAACTTATCATATCATCTCCACCTTTGACACCGTCCTCCTCCTGCCCCCCCCCTCATACGGCGGGCGCGCGGGCTGACCGCGCGCGCGGCGCACCGCTGCGCACCCACGCGCACATGATAGCTGGATGCGGCGATGAAGAAGGTGATGAGGACGAGTGAAAACATCTGACCTCGCGGCAAATGCTCGCGAGCACGGATGAGGCGCCGCCCGCCTCACCCCCCCACCCCGCGACCATGAACGACCGCGCGTCGCGGCAGTGCGAGGAGGCGCGGCGGCGGACGCCGAAACGATCGGCCTGTACAATCGCAGCAAGACCGTCTGGGACACGGCCAGCGGCGCGGCATCACGAGAGCCATTCCGTCGCTGCCCAGCCCATGTGCTGTAAAATTGCACCGCTCGCCCACGCGAAACCACGTGAACTCGCGCCATGTCTTCTAGCCCCTGCCAAGCGCGGCAGTCGAAGTCCCGCGCGCCGCGGAAGCCACGCTTGAGACAATGGTGTCGGGCTATTGGAAAACAGCGGCCCTGGCCTTTGCACCGACCAGCTCCACAACGGCCTTTTTTTCGGAGTAGGCAGACGCGCGCAAGCTCAGCTGTTGGATGTCCCTCCAAAGCCCCTAGAGGCGGGCCTTGACCTCCGCACATCGTGGCACCTTTCTCGCAGCGCCGCGTGCGAGGGCCATTCGGGGCAGCCTTTGTGAAGGAGATGTTCCTGGTCCTCCTCCTCCTAAACCTCCTCCTCCTTCTCCCCCTCCTTCTCCCCCTCCTCCTTTTCCTCCTCCTCCTCCTCCTCCTCCTGCTCCTCCTCTTCCTCCTCCTCCTCCTCCTCCTCCTCTTCCTCCTCTTCCTCCTCCTCCTCTTCCTCCGATGAACATTTTTCAGGGGAGACGGGGGAAACACACGTGGAAGAGCGAGGGGAAGTTCCTCTCGCCTCTCTCCCCGCGGCAACTCAGGCAAGCGCGCATCGCGTGTCTACGCCCGTCCCTGGCGTGCTACTCGCGGCGCCTCCTAGGAATTGGGATGCCAAAGTGCTACGCCGGCTGTATCGCGGTAGCTACGTGTGTGTGAGAGAGAATTAGTGCGAATGAGTATGAGCGTGGGTGATCTCAGTGTGAGCGCGTCGAAGTGTGAGTGGGTGGATCCAGGCACGATTGAGCCTACGTGATATGGTGAGTGTGGATACGAATGGGTCTGAGCATGAGTGAGTCTGAATGAAAGCATGTAAAGGGCGAGAGGGTTTGTGGGAGCCTGAGCGTGATGAAGTCCGAGCATGGGTGAGTCTGTCGTCTGAGTAGGAGCGCTTAGGAGTGTGCATTGGTCTGGGTGTGAGTGACGCTGTTTTAAAGTCTGATTGAGAAATGATAATATTGAGTCTGAGCACGAGCGAATCTGAGTATGAGCGAGTCTGAATGTGATGAGTGAGTCTGAATGAAGAGGTGCTGATGAGTAAGTCCGAGCGAGAATGAGTGCGTCCGGGGGGGGGGGGAAGGGAGGGAGGTGAATGAGTCAGTGAATGAGGAGCACACAAATCCAAAGAGAAGGCTGGGTTGGGCAGCGACAAGCAAACCGCCTGAGACATCCACGCCAATCTGAGCGCGAATCCTAAAGTGTCCCCTCCCCTGGCGGCTCGCGTTGGGATGCCCGAGTGCCACGCCTGCTACATCGCGGTGAGCATTGGACCACCAACAAGAAATGTCTGAGGGGCAGAAACATGCACACAAACTGGGCGCGAACCGTGGAATGCCCCCACCCCTGGCGGCTCCCAAGTACTACCCTTGCTATATCGCGGTGAGCGTTGGACCACAACAACAAATAGTTCCGGAGGCCCGGATCAGACAAACCGCCTGAGACACCCCCACAGTCTGAACGCGGACCCTGCAGTGCCCCCAACCCTGGCGGTTCCGCCTTGGGGTGCCCCAGTACTAAGATGCCACGCGTGCTATATCGCGGTGAGCAGTGGACCACCAAAAAAATGTCTGGGGGGCAGAACAGGCAAGCCGCCTGAAATGCTTCGAGAGCCAAATACGTGGGGAATGCAAACAGGCAGGCCACCTGAGACATCCCCACAATCGAGGCACGAATCCTGGAGTGTCCCCACCCCTGGCGCCCCCCCCGTCCGGAGTGCTGAAGGCAGCGCTTCGCCTGAAACATCCTCATAATCTGCTCCTGTTGGGCACGCAAACAGGCAAACCACTGAGACATCACCACAATCTGGGTGCGAATCCTGAAATGTCCCCACCCTTGGCGCCCCCCGTTGTTTTCTTTCCAGGGGGGGGCGCCGGGCGCTCGTGGTTTGGACCGCCAACGAATATGAGTGAGTCTGAATTTGAATATGAGAGAGTAGGAGTGTGAGTTAGCCTGAGTGTGATAGAATCCGGGAGCGCGTTAGTCGAATTGTAAGGGAATCTGAATGTGAATGCGTCTGACTCTACTGAGTCCGAGTACTGTATGGTTGAATATGAGTGTGACTGAATCTGACTGTGAATGAGCTTGAATGTGAATGGGTCTGGGTATGAGTGAGTATGAGCGTGAGTGAGTCTGCGTGTGACTGCGCCTGAATATGACGGCGTATGAGTAAGTCTGACTGTGAGTGAATCGCTCTGGTTGAGGAGGAAGAGGATAGTTGTTCCCGAATTCAGATACGTAGTCACAAGAAACAAATTTCAGGATATGGAATAACACAAGGAGTGAGAGAGAGGAAAAACAGTGGAAGTGAGAAAATAACATAGCAACGGTAAGAAACAACAGCCATCATATGGATATAGTATGTCCGACAGTGCGACCGATGTTGGGATATATGCATATATTATGCGAATGACACGTCTATAGGCGTAACAACAAATCTAGCACTAGAAGGGGAGACGAGAGAGCAAATGAGAAAGAGAGACGAAGACAAAGAGAGAGAGAGAGAGAGAAATATAAACAAAAAAACAAAATAAACTAATTGACACAATACATGCATTACGCGATAGTGAAAACGAGAAAAAGAGAGAGGGAGAGAGCATGATAACATACATAGTGCGACTACGAGGTGGCAAGCATGATTGGGTCATTCACGGAACTGCGTTGCAGAGCGGGCCTGGCTTCTAATCTCCACCACGTCGCCGATGCTGAAACCTTCATCGGAGGCGACCTGTGCATGACAAGCCGCGCGGAAGCGCGCGCGCACGGGAAAGGAAAGGTAGGAAGGAGAGGAGGGGGCAGGAGGGAGGGATGGGGAGGAAGATGAGGACGACGACGGCCACAGTAAGCCGACCATGTACCCATGATGATCGAATACACCTTGTGTCGCCAGCCTCCTCCTCTCACGCCCCTACACGTCGCCGTCCTCACTGCAGGAGCCTTCCCCCTTTGGAAGAAATATTTCCTCTGAGATTCTGGGTAAGTTGACAAAATAATTAAGGTCTCGTGTTCACTCTGCTCAGTGGTAAGGGGGTACGGGGCGAGACATCGATAAGACAAGTATCCGGTAAGCGAATGTACTTCATCAGGAATAGTAGGGGGGAAACCGGCTGACCGACGACCGACGAAGTGCGACGGCCGAGGACGGGCGCGCTCCTTTTATATCCTGTGCGCTCACGCGTAGCTTGAGTACAACGCAGCTGCAGACAGTCACACATTGCGCAGCAAAGCAATTGATGCGAAAAGCTGCATGAATATGAGGCGGAGAGGAGCTTATTTACTCCCCCCGCGGCGGGCCTCGTAGAGCCCATCCGGCCACGGCGCCCCTGGCCTATATACGCACAACCACCAGAGCGAACCCAAAAAACTTTTACCGCTCAACGGTGGCCACCAGGGGGCTAAGGGCCGAAGAGGCCCGACGACTCCCACCATCATATAAATAAACTCTCTCCGCCGACTCGGCTTAGCCGATCGGCAGAGCTGCTTTACTCGTCCGACGCGACTTCGTCGCGCGGCGAGAACTCTCTTGCACGCGCCTGCAGCGACTAGGTCACGCGGGCTGGACTCAATCCAAGTCCTCGAACGGGTTGTAGCCCCCCGTCGGTGGCGTCGGAGGCCTCGGGCTCGATGGCGCTGAGCATCCAGTCTGTCCCTCGCCGCCACGAGGCGATCGGGGCCTTCCTTTGACACGGCCAGCGTAGCACGCTGTTTTGTAGTGCTTGTCCTTGTTCTCGGGCGCCTTCCCCTTCGGCGGGAAGCGAAAGTCATGTTCAAATAGAGACAGTGCGTGCCGCGTCTGCGACCACCAGGCATCGTCGGGCAGCCATGAGATCCGATTCCGATGGACGCAGCACCCAACCTGCACATTGTTCGCATAGCGCGGGTAGGAGACGAGCGGGTCGTAGACGGCAGCGCCGCGGCCGACATCCACGGCTCCATCGCGCGCGCTGGGGCCTCGACCAACCCCGTGCGTCAGAATGCCACGAGTATTCTTCTCTTGCCGACACGGCTGCGCCGGCGGCAGAGATTCGGTAACTTCGTCGCCAGCCCGAGCGTCTGCGACGTCGGGTCTGCGCGGCGGAGGTGGCAGCTGCGGCCTGACTTTCGCCGAATCCTATTCTCTTATACGCCCCGCGGAATCAGCTTGGCTGCCGCGGGGCTGATTGGCATTTCTTCTCTCGCGAACGTTCTGCTCTCGATCGCGAATGAATCAGCAAGTTCCTAGCAGCTGTAGCCACTGGAATGCCAAATTTTCCGCATGCAATACGGAACGGGCCTGCGTCCTTATCTTGGAGCTCCGTGTCGGCATCTATGTACCTGTTTTTTGAAGCCAAGAAATGGCCTCTTGTAATAATGAGCCCTGACGACGGATGTCGGTGCGCACTTCTCTACCTAAATTACGGGCCCACTCTTCTATGAGGTCGCCCGTCTGAACCGCAGTGCGAATGCGACAGTCGAGGGCATATTCATCCCTCCGTCGCCTAAAATGAACATTATCTGCGCCCCCTCCCGCGGCGCGAATTATTCGCCCCGGGTAGCCGACAAAGTATCCGTCTGAAATAAAGGAGCTCATGATCTCGCGAACGATAGCAACCATTCTTATAATGCGAAGACCAAATTGCATTGGTTGTACAGGGGGCATCCAGTTCCCTTCAACTATGTTCTTCACAACGGTGGGACCTCGCGTTCAATTTCCCCTGACAAACGCAATCTATAGGGATCATTGGTGTTTGAGCGAACACTTGTGTATTCAACGACATATTGGGCTGCTATCGCCCTAGCCTCTATCCCGTGTGAAGATATAAATTTAATGAGCTGTCCTCGCAATGGTTATATGAATAACCGTTGGGCTAATCAAGGTTGGCCGCCCCTTCGGTCATCAGCGTGGCCTTAGGCCCGCTGAGTGTTGAGAAGTCAAGTTTGACCTGTAAGTTCGCGCCTGCCGTCGCGGCTTCGCCGGAGGCAGGTTGCAGCATCGGCGCTATGAGGCGATGGTCGCGACACTCATTGGTTCGTCTAGTGACAGAACGAGAGTCACGACTCGGCCTCGCCTCGAGGCTGTTTTCCCAGGCAACTGGTAGACGTCCACGAGGGCTTTGCCCTGCGGCGTCTGCGGCGTCTTCCTGCGGCACAGGCATCCACGGTGTCCCCATGGATACCGCATTTGCTATCGTCTGAAGTGTCGGGGCGAAGACGCGTTGCCTGGTCATCGCGTGATGCCATCTCTCCCAGCCGTTCACCGGTTCGAAGACATCGTCTCGGTAATCTGGCCAGTCGAAGGCTGCCAGAGCCGGGCAAGACATTGGGCGCGCATACTGGTCAATATTTGTTTGCCGACGCAAGGGCCGCCATACCTGAATTGCAGGAACCTACGTCCTCGCACTTGAAGCCGAGAACGAGAGCCACTCAATGAACCTTCGTGCCAAAGGCTTCAAATATTGAAGGAAAGGGCTATGGCGCGCCGGCGGCTGAGCCGCGGCGTCCGCTGGAACCCAAGCAGGGAAGTTGCCTGGCTGGCTGTTCCCAAAGATCTGACCTGCAGCAGCCATCCACGTGAATCCCCCTTCTACCCACTTGCGATCCTGCTGTTGGTTACTGCTGATATTCTTTCTCACAATCGCAGAAGCTCTCTGTTGTATTCTCGTACGCGTACCGATCCACTCAGCACGCGTAGTGGGAAGATCACGGGGGTCATTCACATGTAATTCAAGTCCATTAGCCTCAAGGGATTGCGGAATGATCTTTCTGGTCCATGTCTGGGCCATAGTCGTGAGTGACTCGATGATTATATTTGATTCGACAGTGGCAAACTGGACAGTGTCCGAAGCCCGTGCGCACCCAGTGAAATTGGCAGCACAGAAACCTACCGTCGTCGTCCCAGGGGACAGACAGAACACGTTCTTGCGCTTCGGGTGACAACTGGGGCCTGTGATTTGGAATCAACGATAGCGTCTCGTCAGTGTGAATCCAAGCGATCATTGATTCATTGTCAAACGTCACTTCGTACGAGGCCCACTCACGGTTGAAAACAACAAAGCAGAACATGTGGTGTGCTCCAATATTATCTTGAGGTCCAACTCTAACAAGGGTAAAAGCCTTGTCGATATCAGTGAACCTCGGCACCTCTCGAGACACGAGGGTCCCGCCTTGGCAAATCATATACGAGAAACGAGTGATCACTCGGCCATTGAAAACAAGAATTAGTGGCCAGGGTTCTCTGTGGTTGGGGGGCTTGTCCCATAGATGGACTGTGTCCTCTGCGGGCCATGTCCCAATCGTTGGCAGCTCTCCTTCTTGCGCATTACGGCCCAAGGACACGAAATGCCTTGCAGGGAGAGCCCCCCCGTACCTCCGCTGGCTGAGCCACGGAGGAATACGCGTTGCATCCGGCATTGTTGGGCCCCTCTTGGTCAAAGCAGCCTTAGCAAGTCGCAGTCTGCTTCGAGGCAAAGCCCTGAATCTTTCTTCGGAAAGCGTACCCTTCCATCCGTGGGTTCTAAGAACGTCTGCATGTCTGCGACATGGAGAAGGGGTGCGCGACTCCTGACTTGGCCAGGGTCATATGGGACGCGCACTCTTTCAATGGAAGCAACAAGCGTGGAATGTCCCTGGCATGCTCGATAGAAGACAGGTATGGCAACAGCGCTCCTCTCTTTTTCTTGCGAGGGGCACGCCTCGCATTTGTGCCGCATGTTGTGAACACTTGTTCCACTGATGTTGTCACTATATTTAGGGGGTATTCCCAAAATCTCCACTGTCTCCGATTGCAACGCGGCTAAGCCGTGTGCAGCAAAAGGCGCATGACTGGAAAGTGAATCCGCCCTTGGCAATCTTCTGCACTAGGTCTCCGAAACAGACCCAGCCACCCGATGATCTCGCATAGTCCGAGCAATGCCTCGCGAGGTACGCCGCGCACTTACCTATGTGCTCAGCAAAATTGTCCACTCGGCAGCTCTGGAGGCTCCAGAACTCCACGCTGCCTAAGGCAGCTGGATTATTGCTATCATCAACCCCAACTACCAACGGTTTCAGGCACCTAAAAGACTTCGGAGTGAACCCTTCTGGGACATATTCGGAATAAAACTCGGCTCGAAGAAACTCCTTTGCTTGATTGAACGTGCCGTCATCTTGGTTGAGGTTGCCCAATAACGCGAAAATCGGGTCTTCCGCAAAGTCTGCAATATATCTAAGCGCATTACCTCTCTGATTGCGTATGGCTTTAATGTGCGGCGGAACGGGGCCAGTCACGTGGGCTTCGCGGACGTTCTGTCTCATTGCACCAGGCGTGCTCTGAATGCTTTGTCCGCGTTCTTCATTTGAAACATAAAGCTGTTTGCCTCTAAACGAAACAGCATGCCCAACATTAACCTCCTGATCCCCTTCCTGGGGATGCAAAGGCGCGGGCTGGCGCTGCCTTCTGTCAGGAGCAGGTGGCAGACTCACTCTCCGGAATAAGTTCTCAAATGCTGGGCCTAAAGGGTAATTCTCGTCTTCCACAGTGCATGCGGCTTCAGGGTCCTCATCGCATGGACAAGCTTTAACATCCTCGGGATCAGCGCCTGCTTCCAAGGACCCCGGGGTGCCCGAGGCATCCGGGTTCTGTCCTGCAGAGGGAATTTCTGCTTCCTGACGTCCGCTCGGAGCGGCTGCTGGCGCTGGTGCCTTGGCAGCGGGTGCAGTTTCATCCTCCGACGGCGCGACCGCGGGGGAAGACTGCTCTTGAATTGCCTC